AACTCATCATGCTTTGTTCCTGGCGATACTCTGGAGAGACTGGTTGAGGTGTGGAGGGACGACGAGGAATAGGAATGGGTGGAGACCAATAACGGAGTTCACCTTCTTCTTCGACACAGGCATCGAAAATGTCGGAGTCCCATGGGGTGTGGCATTCTAACCCCTGACATCCCGTCACCAATTGACTGTCCGTCAGTTCTTCTTCATACACTTCGTCTTCTTCGCACACTCCACTCATCAACTGACTATCACTGATCTCCTCTTCGTATTGATCCATCTAAAAATAWAAGAGACAGAAGGTTCAACAAACGCCTTTTATTAGTTTTTTTAAAAAGCAGTTTACACATCAATAGTGTCGATTTTGTCGGGTTCGTTCAGAAATTTGTTAAACTCAGACAAAATAGGATTCTGTAAAAGGTGTCTAAAAGAACCGAAAGCATTATCCAGTCTAGACAGTCTCCACCATCTGAACTCCTGCTGAAGGGTTTGTCCTTGGAGAGTGGGTTCAATCTTCTTGGTGGCCTCTTCTACCTCTTTTCTGCGATCACCAGCAGCACAGTAAATCCGATTCAAAATTTCATACACTTTAGCTCGTTCCTCGACCATCCCTTCCAACCGTTTGAAGTGATTTTCATACCCCTCCATACCTAAATAAAAAAGACGTTCCCTTAATTTTTATTAATCTTCAAGTGTTTTTTACAAGTTATTCTCGAGCTTCAGTCTCGACATTGTCGGGTGTGCCAGAGCGTTTCAGAAAAGTCTGAAACTCTTGCGAGAACATGGCACACACTTCAGAAAAGGCGCAAACGACACCAATAACTTTAACGAGTCTCCACTTTTTAAACTTTTCTCTTTTCTCTTCTTCTTCAAAAATGGAGTCAAACTTCCTCAAGGCATCCTGCAACTCTTTCAAATCGCGTTGGAGATCTTGAAACTCATGTAAGATATGAATGACTTTGGCACGTTCCTCAACAGTTCCTTCCATACCTAAAAAATGGAAACACGTTTTTAAGTTTATTTTTCCACAAAAATGGGAAGTGGTTCCGGTTCAAAACGTTTCGCTCGTGTGAAATCCCAGAAATAGTCGTCGACGGT